ACTGTCTGGCTGTCTTTCTGTCTGTCATGGACGGACGGACGGACGGGCGGACGGACGAACAGACAGACAGACAGACAGACAGACATACAGACAGACAGACGGACAGACAGACAGGCAGGCAGACAGATAGACAGACAGACAGACAGACAGACAGACAGACAGACAGACAGACAGACAGACAGACAGACAGACAAGACAGACAGACAGACAGACAGACAGACAGACAGACAGACAGACAGAGAGACAGCGAGACAGAGAGACAGAGAGAGAGACAGAGAAATAGAGTGCTGAATAAAAGGAGAGAGACATGGAGGGAGACATGCAGACCTACCGACATACAGGCTGCTGTCTGTCTCTGTCTGTCTGTCTGTCTCTGGACAGACAGACAGACAGACAGACAGACAGACAGACAGACAGACAGACAGACAGAGACAGACGGACAGACAGACAACGGGCGGACGGACGAACATACAGGCTGATGGACGGACGGACGGCGCGCTCAAGAGAGAGAAGAGAGAGAGAGAGAGAGAGCGAAAGGAGAGAGGAGAGAGAGAGAGACAGCGAGACAGCGAGACGGAGAGAGAGAGACAGAGAAATAGAGTGCTGAATAAAAGGAGAGAGACATGGAGAGAGACATGCAGACCTACCAACACATATAGACACATGGTATGCTTGGTTAGAAGTTGCTGAGGGATGCTTGGCTAATTGCTATTATGACGAGAGAGAGAGAGAGAAAGAGAGAGAGACAGAAAGAGAGAGAGAGAGAGAGAGAGAGAGAGAGAGAGAGAGAGAGAGAGAGAGAGAACATGCACTCACTACCTGCACGTTTCTACCACCATTCTTATTTCTTTGTGAGTCATATTAATTTTACTATCACCACTTTTTTTACAGGCTATAGGAGACCTGGGGTCAAACGGTGAGTTCAATTAATAAAAGCTTACATATGAAACTAAATGAATGGAGCCAGTTATACTTACTGCAGTTAAATATTCAGAAGAAAAATATTGATATTAAACTTGAACTAAAAGTAGTACTTTAGCTGGTTTTGATATAGACCTAATCTAGAGATCACAGCATGAGTAAATGCAATAGATTCGTAAGGGGATTGGTATGACCATAAAGTAAGACACAATGCGTGATGTAAATAAAATGCAGTGTGGAGCTCCAAGGGATATTGGGGAACTTATGTGGATAGAGAAGGCCAACATAAGCTAATACGGCCACAGGATAGGGAAATAGAGAGATTGGGAATTAAATACCCTGGAGGCATTTGTTGTGCTGGTACAGAGTTAAATTTTTGTAAAGGTATATATGTTTTTGCATGGAAGAAACAAATTGCAATATGAGATAAAAATTGTGGTATTTCATCACATATATATTTATATGTATATGTATATATAGACATGGTGCACTCACTAATAAACTTTCTATTACAGCCAAAGGTCTCCTGGTGGTGATGTTTTACAAGAAGATGCTGGAGGTGGTGCTGGATGAGAAGCAGGCATTCTCCTTTGTCATCAGGATGGAGGTACTATAGCACCACTACTGAAATACACTACGCGCGAAATACAGTCACGAAGCACGCACGTTCTCTGGCGAAATACAGTCACGAAGCGCGCACGTTCTCTGGCGAAATATACTTACGAAGCACGCATGTTCTCTGGCGAAATATACTTACGAAGCACGCGCGTTCTCTGGCGAAATACAGTCACGAAGCACGCACATTCTCTGGTGAAATACAGTCACGAAGCACGCACGTTCTCTGGCGAAATACAGTCACGAAGCACGCACGTTCTCTGGCGAAATACAGTCACGAAGCGCACACGTTCTCTGGCGAAATACAGTCACGAAGCACGCACGTTCTCTGGCGAAATATACTCACGAAGCACGCACGTTCTCTGGCGAAATACAGTCACGAAGCACGCACGTTCTCTGGCTGAAGTGTAAATGTTTTACCGCATCTCACGCGCGCGTGTGGTAACGGGTGGGCGATTCATGTGTTTGCAGGCTTTGAAGGCAATGAATCTGCTGCTGGAACATTGTCCCGTCGACGCTCGCCTGACGAACAGGACCAACGCCGACATGTAAGCGAGACGAAGCCCGAGATGGGAATCACATTAAGGACCCCCTAGTGAAGCACGTGAAGGGAACACGTGCGGTCGTCTGTAACTACATCACCTTACAATAGTCGAGAGGTTTCCACGTGGATTTCATATCTAGGTGTTTATGATGTCGGCCCGATTTAATTGCTTCGTTTGTCGTTGTTTTCAGGTCCAATATGGCTCATCTGTTGTTGACTTGTGGAGGTATGTATATACTTTATTTTGCAGTGTTTTCTGTACGAATAAAATCTGTAAAAGGGTTGCATCTTTGAGTAACTCATAATTTCATATTAAAATTCATGTGTAATATTGCAGAAGGAACGTAGTTATTTTGTCAGTGTTCAGAATGTGGTGTGTAACTATTTGCATGGGCTATTTGGGATGCGCAGGGTGTCAAATTTGTGATACAACTACACCAGATTTTGTCATCATTCGTCAGTTTCCCTATGAATTCCATTAGGTATCCTTGTAAAAATAGTAATTGACATGGTGAAACCTACCGAGTGGGTTTCTAAGGCATTGCGGATGTAGGTCGTGTACTGAGCCTCTAGACAGCACTGGTCAGAACATCCCACGCCGAGATCTTGGTAGTCTGCGAAAATTTCATTTGCTGTAATTTCAGATTACGAAATGCAGGTGGCGCTGACTGAGGTGCTGTTTCGGCTGACGCAGAAGTGCGAGCGAGCCACGTTGGCGACTGGTTGGTTCACCAGCAGAGATGTCACCGGCTTTCTCAGCATTCGTGATGCTGACTTTGAGCTGGTATGATTACTGTCTGACCTAACCACCTGGCACGATTGACAGGCAGTTCAAGCCAGTCGTTGTTGCGATTGGACGTTTGAAGAATGACGCTCAAGAAATAAAATTGTTCTACTGTATGCATTTGCACGTTCATATGCAACCTGAATGAGCTTAACCTACATGGCAACAATATCCAAGGGGTCTGGGTATCTTGCTTAGCCAGATAGGTCTTCTTCAATGATATTGAAGGATAAGATGATTAGCATACAACACCGTTTTCAGTTGTCTGATAAATGTTGAAAAATTTGATAGCTTGTTGTTATTTCCATGAACAACCTTTTCTCAGTCCGATGGCTGTTGTGTATTTTGATGTTTTACAGGATTGCCGAAGCTTCCTAAACAGACTCAATGAGTCGAGCGGGTCCAAGAGGGCTGTGTACTCATTTCCCTGCCTATCAATCTTCTTTGGAGATTTCCAGGTAGGTGGCGCTGTGCACCCGACCAATGGCTGGCCATGATATATGGTGGTCAGTTTTATGCCGTGTCTGTGATTGCATATGTTCACAGTTTAGTTGCATTCCAAAAGGCTCCGCTGGGTTTTATGATAGCATTTGCCTAATTTTGCATCTATGTTTTTGGGATGATTCTAGATAATTTGAATGTGTAGTATCGGAAAGAAGCAAAATGTCTCAAACCATGTCATATATGCATGGGTGAAGCTATATATCACCTGACTAAGTTTAAGTTCAAAAACAGTAAATTAGTCTTCCCAAATAAAAATGCATATGATAAATTAAAAAAATGTAACAGGTAAATCCCAGCGACTTATACTCGATAACTTGTTAGCCACTCGGCAACTGGCGTGTTGCAACCACACCGCGAGTAAATGCAGAATTTCGCAGATTCAATACGTTATATTTCGCGCGTGTCCATATGGCTAACCTGCCGATCATCATCTTCGTGCGTGCGTAGCTTCACCGCCCCCAGGACACGGGCTACGACAGCTACTGGGTGGACTTCAACACGGGCAGCAGGACGGTGAGCTTCTTCTGCGACCACCCGGGCAGCGAGTCGCAGGGAGAGGACCTGTGGGAGACGGTCGTCATCAAGAACCACGTCGTTGACCGATACGTCGTCAGAGGTGCGCCCCCCGGTGGCCGCTCGTTGCGAGATAGGTTTTTCGGACCCGCCGGGTCGAGAACTGTTGAGGCGGAACGAAATTGTATATGATTGTTTGGCGATTGATGTGAACACTGTGACCGCACATGTGTCTTGCTGATGTTGTTATTCCTTATACACATTTACTCATTCCTTTTTTTACATATATATATATATATATATATATATAACGTAAGTGATCAGTATGAACGAAAACGTGCACACACATATACGCGTGAACGTATGTGCATGTCTTCGCGTATGTGCGTGCGTTCATGTATGTGCATGTGTTCGTGTATGGTATTGCTACATATGTGCTGATCACCTTTGATTTATAGAAACAACAGAAGGGAAAATTCTCGAGATCACGCTGTCGGTTAAAGCGAAAGATCTGATAAGTTTTGCATCTGACTTGACCAGTCATCACATCTTCATCTTGTTCTCGAGTGACTTCAGCATCAAAACGCCGGCTGATGCCTGCTTGGCTAAGGTCAGTGTCGCTACTAATTCTCTCACATTAAATAGAAACAGCACTGATGGGCTGGAAATGTGCAGTCATGTGCCATCCCAGCATCATTCCTTATTCCTCGGATTGCCAGATGATTCAGTATCCCTTATTCACCAGCATCCCCTATTGCTAATTATCATCCCTTATCTTTTGTCATCCCTTATCCCTTCTCATTCGTTATCCCTCAGGATCTTTTTTCCCACAGCATCCCTCATCTCTTAGCATCCCTTATTCCTTGGCATCCCTCGTTCCTCGGTATCTTTTATTCCTCAGCATCTCCAATGGCCCAGCATCCCTGAATCCTCAGTATCACTGATTCCTCATCATTTCCTCAGCATTCATGAGCATCTTTGATTTCCCTACACAACACAGCGCTATACACGTCCTTCTTTTGCCTTTCACCACTCTGAGAGCAGATAAAGCAGTCAGAGGTGTCCACCCCTGTGCAGTCGCGAGTCCTGGGAGATGGTCTGTCGTCACAGGTCGGTGCTAAGCACAATCAGACCCCTGAAGCCAGCACGTCAAACTGGGTGCCGGGAATGTCAAAGCTGGTGAGCTCAAACGATGGAGCGAGAGGAGCAAAGAGAATCATAGAAACCAGGGGCCCCGTTGTCAGAACCAAAATTAGTCTTAACATTAGTCTTAACATTAACTTCGACTCGTAAACCGTTGATATCATTAACATTAGCGTTAACTTTACAATGTTACTGACGATGGGCCTCAGAGCAATTAAATTGTGATCGTTAAAGTAATCAATTAACTGTCTGTGAGTGTTTGTGAAATCGTAGTTACAATACAATTAACAGACTACAGTGTCAATATCCTTCCGTCTGTTTTGCAGATGATGAAGTATTTACGTGATCAAGCGAGTTCGCTGGCAGAGTCCCAGTCACAGCAGGACAGAGCTTCACTCGGCAGCACCTGCAAGGTGTCCGTGCCCCTGGTCACCATGACAATACCACAAGTACAGCAGAAAGTATCGGTGGCAGAGCCGTACATTCTGCAGGCGTCAGGTGCGTGTGTGGCTCTCGCCTACTAAGCTTCTACACATTTCACCTCCTTACTAGAAGACGAACATTAATGAATATTACTGTATATATTGATGAATGTAGAATCTGGTACATAGACAAACAAGGTGGACAGACAAGAAAGATGGAAAGACATATAGCACGCAGCCGTTCACGCGCCCGTATATCCCTTTCAGCCTCGGCCACCAACCAAGTGAGAACACCTACGTCGAGCAAGCGAACGCCCAAACGAGTGAAGACGCCCCTGGTGATGGTGCAGACGTCTTCCGCTACACACCCGGCGCAGGCCGAGACCAGCACCAGCGACACCGAGGTGACCGACCCGGAACCTCCAGAAGTGGTCATCAGCGATCAGGAGGAAACTACAGCCAGAAGGGACGGTGACGTAAGTCTTCAGTTAATTTAGTTACAATGGGTGCACGTTAGTACTGCAGTGGTTTCTTCATGCTTCTTTCAATCGTGGTGCATTCATTCATTTTAATCTTCATTCAACTCGTTTTAAGGTTTCTTCGCTTATTCTGTCATGTGTGATGTTTACTTTAGGCTAAGAAGAAATTAGCAGAAAAGAAACAGGATGCAGGTGAGAAACTGGCATCAGGGAAACGGGACACAGATGCAAAATTGCCGGCAAAGAAACAAGATGCAGGTGTGAATCTGCCATCGGGGAAAAAGGACGCAGATGCTAAATTGCCGACAAAGAAACAGGATACGAAAGGGAAACCGAAATCAAGGAAACAAGATACGGAAGCGAAACTCGGAACAAAGAAACGGGATGCGGAAATAAAACAACCTGCAACGACACAGAAGTATACAGAAGGAAAATCAAAGTCACGCAAACAAGATACAGATGCAAAACCTGCATCAAGGAAACAAGATACGAAAGCAAAACCACTGGTAAAACAGGGCATTGAAGAGAAATTCACGAGTAAGAGACAACCGGAGAGAAAGCAGGATAAATCGACAGAAAAAGGTAGAAATTAATATGATATAATTTATTGTGATAGCCTAATGTTTATAAATAATGGTGATGTTTCAACCAGCATTGCATCCGCAGCTTAATCATCAGTATTAAAATAACGAGCAACTATTTCGAGCCATAGGTTAATCTGTATTATGATAATTAAGTAGTCAGTATCTATTAAAGTTGAATTTGCCGTTTTGTTTTGCCAGAGTGCGAAGTTAGCAAGCCCAGTACTGGGAGGAGACAGAGCCAGAGATTAGAAGTAGAGGATGACTGCAGCCAGAGAAGAAGGTCAAGTCGGATTGCCCAGAGCATTGCTGCCAGCCAAGAGGTAGAAAATGTGAAATAGGAAAAAATGTTTTTTACTCATCAACGTCATGTGAAGTTTAGTATACTTACGAATACGTACGTAGATAGATTCATACACGTGCTTAACTATACACCCCTACACAAACGCTATATACATACACACATATATATATATATATATATATATATATATATATATAATATATGTATGTATGTATGACTATGTACATGTGTGAGCATGTTAAAAAATATATATGTTACAGGATGGAGTCGTGCCTGATACTCAACCAGACGATTCCCTAGAGAAATCGAAAAAAGACAGGGATGCCCCAGCATCTAAGATAAAGAGCAAGGAAGATAAATCAAGTACAGAGTTAATTACCTTTTAGTTTAATTAGTTTATTTAGTTAAATTAGCTTAATTATTAGTAAATTATTAGTTGTTTTCAGTTTTCATTACCATATAAGTTCACATTCATGGCATCTTATCCTCTTAAAATTTCATATGTGGTAATTTAAGCAATTTATGCTAACATATATTTTTATAATATTTATAATTTTTAATTATAATTATAATTTATAATTTTTATAAATAATATTTTTAGCCTATAAATCATGACATGTTTTCCCATCGAATATCAGTTTATCGCACATCTGTCTTCTGTCTGCAGTTACATCCACTTCTGTCTCGGCTGCGCGTTCGTTTGTGGAACGTGTCGTCACATCTCCCATTGAGGTCATGCGAAGGGAAGCGCCAGCGGATGTCACAAGCTGTGAGCCATCAGATCTGTCACTGTGCACCTTGAAAGACAAGGAAAAGGTATACAACGATATTTCAAATTCGCATTTGCACGCGTACACAGGCACATCTTTCTGAAAGCAATCGGCATAAACGGAAAATACAGTTAGTACACGTTAGTACATGTTAGTACACGCTCACGCGTAAATACGTAGAATCTATAATTGTTTCGAGAACAACGGAACGTGTTAGATCAGATTTCGTAGATCGATTAATTTTCGATAACTACGATGCAGATGCAGAGATTCCGAGAGAAGGTGATCGCCGTCGACACGGTGGCTTTCACAAAGTCCGTGGAGAAGGCGTCGGACAGCCCCGCACTCAGCACGGTGACGGAGCGCACCGAGGGTCCTTCCCAAACCCACAGCACGCAAGCCACCTCCCAGGCACGCATGCCGACTAAACTCAGTAAGGATGAAGAGCAGGAGGAGGAGGAGGAGGAGGAGGATAAGTCCAACGAAGCGTCAGCCCCGTCGAAGAGAAGAAGAACGCCCATCGAGGTTGATCAAGCGAAATTACCGACAACTGCGGCGAAGGGAGCGAAGCAACGAGCGACAGCGGCATCAGCATCAGCAGCAGCATCCCGTAACGCACAGCAACAGTTGGCAACCGAATCCTCCAGCGGTAACAAGAGGAGGCGAGGCGCGGAGGTGGACAAGAGAGGCGACACTCCTGCAGCAGCAGCAGCAGTGAAAGAAGGATGCTGCGAGAAGCCCACTGATGAGGAGGCTGAGAGAAGCACTAGAAAGCCTGCGTCAACTCGCATCAAGCCTCTGCCGGCCACAGCAACAGGAGAAGGATGCTGCGAGGATCCTACCGCAGAGGAAGCTGAGAGAAGCACAAGGAAGCCCGCAGCGACTCGCGTTAAGCCTCCGCCGGGGAAGACTGTGGCAGCCGAGAAGAAACCGCTGCGGCAGGATGCAGGGTCAAGCAACGGAGCGACCTCCACCATTGCGCCGCGGCAACGGACCGCACAGCGGGACGAGTTGCTGACCTCCAAAACGGCGCCACCACCGATCGCACCCCAGGTCGCCGCTGCGGCGGTGCTGCTCGACACGTTCGAATTCAGAGACGAGGAAGAGGAGAATCTTCCGCCTCTATCCCAGACGAGAGCCGGGAGGGCTTCCGATCGACGCACCGCCGCCGCGGCCGACGGAAAGGAGACGGATTCGGGGAAGCGCGAGCCCACAGAGTGCCCTGAGAAGAACGACGAAAGGGAAGCTGCCTCCTCGCGCGCTGCTGCCACGAGGGAGAAGCCAGCGAAGGGAGGCGGCAGGGAGAAGGTCGTCCGCTCCAAGGTGGGAGGCGGTGCCTGGAAGATTCCTGACAAGCTGCGACCGGAGAACAGCACGCGGGGGAAGGGGAAGAGCGATCTTGACGACAGCGCTGTCCTGTACAACGAAGAAGCTTTCAGCTGGAAGCTGAAGAAAAAGAACGCCGATCCCGGCGGCCTCTCCTCCGTAGACGAGGAGAAGGGCAAGGGAGCAGGAGGAGGAGGAGCAGAAAGAGGAGGAGGAGAAAGAGGAGGAGGAGGAACACAAGCGAGAAGTGGCGGGAAGAGCAAGGAGGGAGAGCCGGTCGAGCATGCGGCAGCAGCGGTGCGACGCCTTCCCGCGCGGCAGGCGAGGGCCCAGGCCAACGCCATCCGGCAGCGTCAGATCGCGACGGAGCTTCAGTCGTCGTCCGATTCCTCCGACGACTCCGACAACGAGATGCGGCGAGACCGCTCGCCGATGCCCGAAACAAGAGGGCAACCTGCGCGCACATTGAAAGTGGCGAGAGCGCCTCTCGGCGAAAGAAATGCCTCGGCGACGAGGACGGGAGACTCGGTGGCGCCACCTAGAGTGACGCATAGCGACGACGACGACGAATCAGCAACTCGTGCGAAGCCGAGAAAGTCGCAGCCCTGCTACAAGTTCTTCAAGACCAAGGATCGGCCGAAGTCTCCCCCGCGCGACGAGGCCTCCTTCGACTTCGAGTCGGACACCGACTCGTTCATCAAAAGGAACCTGACTCACGTCGCGAGGAAGGGAGGTGCGCAGAAGAAAGGGGGCGCCACCACGGCGGCGGCGGCGCGAGCGCGCAGCAGCAGCAGCAGCAGCAGGCTGAGAGGCGATTTTCGGTGGTCGGACGACGAGGATGCTTCGAAGAGGAGGAAGAAGTGGAACTCGACGTGGAACGACGCTGATCTCGGCATGTTTCAGGTGAGAGGCTGCGCTAACGAGATGACGATGCCAACGCTCGACCGATTTTGTAGCATTAATTTCGAGAGATCGAGTGTAGTGTTATATATGCAAAAAGTTTTTTGCTAAATAACATGCAGTTTAAACAAAGAAAAAACAGCGAACTTGTACGGCACTGTATCTGCTACGTGTCTGTCACAATCGCTCAAATCGCTCTTGGGGAAAAAACAAACGAAAAATTTGTTAGTGTTAATCATTGTTCCAAGCTTTGTGGTATGGGCTGTTTTTTGTTCAGCATTCTTTATAACTACAAAAAACCATCCGTAAATAACAGGTGATAAACTTGTTTGTACTTATCTCGAAGTCAGGTTATTTTCTATGTGATTGCTAAATGCCAAATTCATCAGTATGGCATGCCTCTGCTACCCATAGGAGCCGCCAGAAGCTACAACGTCACCTGCTGGCAAGAAATCTCGCAGCAAGAAGGCTGGCCAGCAGGCAGAATCGAGGAACAATTGCGTGCGCAGGAGGCGACAGAGGGCGCCAGTTGTCATAGAGCAGGAGAGCCCCATCACGGCTAGGGTAGCCGTAGCACAACGGAAGTCTGACAAATCGAAAGTGAAGGTGCGTGTATGCATGGATGTCAAACATTCAACATCCGCAGTATATGTTACTCTGTCCTTTACCTTATCTGTATTTATCTTATCTGTATCCCTTATCTGTATCTATCTTATCTGTATCCTATGTGTATCCCTTATCTGTATCTATCTTA